CACACACACACACTCGCACACACACTCACGCACACACACACTCACTCACTCACACACACACACACACACACACAAATGCTCTGGGATGTCATGCTGTGACTGTAATGTTGCTCATGTTGTGTGTTGTGTCTCAGGCGTCAGAAGTGTCCCGAAGCAGAGGAGCGTCTCTGGTCAGCAGAGCTGGAAATGGTTTAGTATCAGCTGTCAGGAGTCAGAACCAGCCCGATTCAGTGCCTCTAGGTCAGTCAGTGATGATGACCCACCTAAACCTACAGAATCAAAGAAAAAACTACACTAAACTATACTTTAATATGACATTCAGTCGTATTTTATTATGCTTTTGTCTGTTTTCTTTGCCCTCAGCTTACAATGATAAGATTGTGGCTTTCCTGCATCAGCCGAACATACTGGACCTGCTGCAGGAACGACAGCCGAGTCTCGCCAGGAATCACACACTCAGGTGAGCCCTCTCACATCGCCAGAGTGACTGTTTATCACTTATTTGTTAAATATGTCATGCTATATGACAGTGAGCAGAACATGACAGACATTTTATGCCAAAGAAAATAAAAGCATTGTAACATACCAGCAAAACTGTTGCATTCTGGGAGTTTATTCTGGGTTTTCAGAGATACATAAATCCATTATGCTATAAAACTGTTAAAACCATTTTAGTTCATTTAAATAAAGGTTAAATAAATTAAATATAAATATTAGTTGAAACAAATTCAACTTGAAAACCCTAATCAAACATTTGAAATGTTGCCTTGGCTGCTAACAGAAATAAAATAAGTTAAAGTTGAAGTATTAAAATAGTTAAAATAAAAATAAAAATATAAACTATATAAAAATATATAAAAAAATATATAAAAATATATAATATAAAAATATTTTTTTAAAATAAAATATAAACATTAGATTAAATGATAGATTGGGTTGAGCACCAACAGAAATAAAATAAGTTTAATATAAAGTAATAAAATGACTAAAACTAATAAATAAATAAATAAAAAATAAAAATCAATAAAAATGCATTAAAGCTAAATAAACAAAAAACTAATACAATGTGGGTATTTTCACAGTCAAATGTATTTTGCGATTAATTAATCGAAACATCATGTAATTAATTAGTTTAAAAAAATTATTGACTAACAGCCCTAAAAATTACATAAACTAAAATAAAGCTGATATAAAATAAAATGTAAATATCACATGAAAAAAATAAAACAAAAACAATTGGAAATGTTCCCTAAGATTACTAAAACTAAAACTGAAATATAAATAAATTAAAGTTAAATAGAAATATAAAAAAATGACAAAAGCACATAATATAATTAATAAAACTTAAACTTAATTAAAGATGATATGAAATAAAATATAAATATAAGATGAAAAACTAAACTAGAACTAAGTAAACAAAACTTAGAAATATTTCCTTTGCAACTAACTGAAATAAAATAAGTTCAGTTAAGTAATATAATTACAAATAAAACAAAAATAGTAGAATTGTTGAAAAAAAAAAATACAACTGACAAAATTACTAAAACTTAAACTAAAATTAAAATGACAACTGAAAATATAAAATAAAAGTCAATTCAAAATATGAATAAATACTATAATAGTATATAAATAATACTAAAATATCACTGAATTATGACTAACATTGACGTGTTAAGCTCATATAGCAACACAGTTACAGTCTGACACAATAAAGATGCATGAAACATGCTTAAAACATGTAAAAAACAAAGTTTGTGATGGTGAATCAGCATTTAACTAACAGTGCATTAACCCATCATTATCTTAAAAGCATTCCAGAATGCACGCTATAATTCCATTCAGCTAGTGAAGTGCTTTACTGTTACTTTTTTAAAACAATTAACATTCCATTAGTTCAGACCTTTCAAAAGCTACTCAGTGTGGAAAGAAGGCAGCGAGAGTGGAAATGTGAGAGTGTGTGAATGTTTACGAGCTCCGTGCATGCATTCTCTCAGGGAGAAAATCCATTACATCAGAACTGAAGGTCCTCAGGGCGTTGAAAAGCTGTCCTGTGACGCCGACCTGGTCATGCTGTTAAGGTACAGTGACTGCGGCGTGAGGGACGGGGAATGCTGCATGAGCTCGGTGTTTTTGTTGTAAACCAAAACCACAAGGCTTGACAGGCAGTAGTATATAAGAGTCTTTGAACACAGTCCTCAGCGTTTGGCAAACATATGACTCACTCACATGGACCAGCATGCAGGACTAGTTATTATTGGCTTAATCAACTAGTCAAACTCTCCAAACAGCTAACACACAGCTAAATACTAGATAGAATACTAGAACATATTAAAGTGGTCATGACATGGATTTTTTTTTTATTATTATTTTAATGTTCCTTGAGGTTTACTTATAATGCTAAAAAATATATATATTTTTTTTTTGCACAAAAAAAGCAGCAAAACTGTGAAGCAGTGGACTGTGTCAGAAAGTGAGCGCGCATCTGTATACTGTATCCAGTGTAGACAAAAGCGGCAGTGAATGTAATTTCTGCTTGCTTTTGATGCGACATGACACTCGCATTCAGCGTAATCAAGTGTCAGCTGTTAAAGGGTTAGTTCACCCAAAAAATAAAATTAGCTTGTTATTTACTCATCCTCAAGCCATCCTAGGTGTATATGACTTTCTTCTAGTGGCGTCCAGCGGATGACGTAAGACGTAGGCAAATGTGACGAGCGCAGAAGTGATGAACGTGGAAGCGCAGAGGAGAGAGCGAAACAAAACACAGGTCACGAATTAGTAGCACAAAACGAGGATTTGCAAAGAAAAATGTCGGAGGATTTCAATATAAGCCAAGAGGACACTAGTTTTCCTTTGCTGTAAACAAAACTTGTTTCTCGCGAGACTAGCATATTCTCACCGGAGCTTATGCTACGCCTACGTCATCCGCTGGACGCCACTCTCTCGAATCCTCGTTTTGTACTACTAAGCCGTGTGGACTTCTTTTATAATGGATGGACTTCAAATTTTGGGCTACCATCCACTCCCATTATAAAGCATGGATTAGCCTGGACATTATTTATTGCAGGATGTTTTAATGGTAGAAAGATCAAGGCAAATTTGATTTCTCATGTCATGACCCCTTTACCTAACAATTTAGAGTAAACAGAATGTTCTATTTTTATTTTATTTATATTATCAATTTTTTTTATTTTATCTATTTTATTTTTTATAAATTTTTGAGATATTTAACTTTTATTAGTTATACAATATTTATAAATAAATAAATAAAAATATGTTTTCTGCATACATTCTAATATGTTTCCTCTCTGTCATTCAGTCTGTTTGATGAGGAGATCATGTCGTATATCCCATCTCACTCTTTCCACCCCGGCCTCGGCTTCTCTCCACGCTGCTCTCCCGGATCCTCACCTCAGAGTTCACCGGGTATGATCATATTACTATTTAAAAGCAAGACTTTCATCATTGGGTTTGCTTAGGCTCATTTAGTTGGACAAAAATGATACCCCTAGTTTAGCTTTGAAACTACTGCTAGATCTAGATCTGTAGCCAACAAAAATTGCCTGTGTATTCAAGATGAGTAATCAGTATTTTTGGTCTGTTCTCACCAAAGAGACTATAGATGTAATAAAAGTTATTTTTGTCAACTTTTAGAATAACACAAGCAAAAAGAGTGCATCAAAGATAAAAGGCATGGATTAAAAGCTACAAATGGACGACTATTTAAAATGCTAAAGACACAATCTAACTGTTTTTACTCAAATTATTATAGTAGGATCTTATAAAACATTTTCTCTAGCTCAGTAACACATCCACATACAGTACATACTGACGTCTAAGGCCTTTTTTTTAAAAGCCTATTTAAGCGTCTGTGGAAACATGAGCCGGTCTCTTGTGTGTAACGCCGCTTGCCAAAACCCAGCGAAGGCTTTTCCCTAACAACGAGAGCAATCATTCCCCGCATCAGTTCTTCTGTGTGTTTGCGGTTGCAATCTGGCCGGTCTACCACTTCCCTGAGTACTCAGCCAATGACACGTATACAGTGCAGATCAGCCCCATGTCTGCATTTGTAGAGAACCATTTGGAATGGTGAGAGATCTTCCGTTTTCTACCATACTACTGTATCTCTCTTTATCCCCAATTATTGCTGCTTAGACTTGGAATGTCTTTGAAGTTCATCTTTGTAGTTCTCTGGTTGATGTGGCATGTGGTTGAGGAATCGCATGCCTTCTGGTCAGAAGCGGTCACGCTACGTCTTTGTTTTGTCTCTTATTTTGGGATTTTGACTGACAGGGAAAATGGCCCTCTTGTTGAGTAAATTATAGTGTTAGGAAACTAAATGCAAAGACAAATTCTCAGCGTTTGCCTTGAACTTCATCCAAGAAGAGGACACGTCTGGTGAATGTCAGTGTTGAGATTCACAACGTTTAATTGAATTTAAAAGTTGTCCCAAGTCACAGTGTCTGACTTTCAAGCCCTATCCAGAAGGTAGAGAATTTCAAAAGCCTATAATTGGTTCAAAAACAGGATATGTGTTATATTGGAGCATGCACAGAACATTATGACATGGATAAATGTTTTGCTGGACCCTCACAGGTTCCGTTTCAGTGGCCGTATATTGGGTCTGGCTCTGATCCACCAGTATCTGTTGGATGCTTTCTTCACTCGACCATTCTACAAGGCCCTGCTCAGACTGTGAGTCTCAGAGGTTTTTTGGAGTCAAGGTGACACAATAAAGTGAGTTTCAAATTATGGATTTTGATTGGATGTCTGTATTGTGTGGTCCGTAGAGTGACAGATCTGAGTGATTTGGAATACCTGGATGAAGAGTTCCACCAGAGCTTACAGTGGATGAAGGACAACGATATCACGGATATCCTGGATCTGACGTTTACAGTCAACGAGGAGGTCTTTGGACAGGTGCTGGATAATTCATTCTGTTTTTGAAGCACCTTCTAGAAGGTTTTCATGTGTCTGCAACAAATTATTATTTTGATAATCGATTAATCTAATGATTATTAGAACGATTAATCGACTTAATCGTCAACTATTTCACCAATTAATCAGTAGGCTTTGATCAATTATTCAGCTTTTGCAATTATTTAAAATATTGAGTTGTACATATTCTATACATATTCATACATATAGAGCTGCTTTATAGCAGAATATCAAGTTGTAATTCTAACTGAAAGTGACACTAACACTGTTTTTTCATGTTTAATACTGTAAAGCTGCTTGCTTTAAAGCAAACTATTGTATAAAGAGCTATATAAATAAACGTGATTAGACTGGAGTGCTGATTGCGGAGCTGATTCAAACGTATTCCCCACATTGCTATGATCGGATGCTTTCTTAACTACTGTTTTCCCATGCTGTCATTTTTGTTGTGTTTATTTTGTTACTGAGAGGAAAGCGCACAGCATATATTTACATATTCATCTAAATGCCGCTTTCAGCAGTGTTGGGATATTCACAAACACAAAACTTATTTTTATCCCCAACCAAGGAATGAAAAAAAAATTCAGCATCAGTATATCGGGCTTTTTACACATAACAGCATTTTTTTTTAGAAAAAATTTCCCTCACTCTACTGGTTCTGGTTCATTTGCACATCTCATAAGCATTTCTACTTCTATTGGATTACATCTAGGAAGGCCGAATTACAGTCTTGTGCTACATCGCCACATTGGTCAAACCACGTTATTGCAGGTTGTTACATTAGGTCATATGAGATATAAACGAATATTCAACAAAAATATTTGACAATTTTTTGTTGTTTACGTTGGCTTTAATATCAAATAATCGTTTCATCCCTAGTGTCTTACCAAAATGCCAGCAATGATAATGATCTATGATCAGGATTGAAGAAAATTGAGTCTCATGCTCAGGCATCTCCATTACTTATAGCAAGCCAAACCTGGTTACCAGTTTTGTATTAAGTTATACTAAAACCACATTGTACTAAAAGTTATAAAAGTTGGCACATCGGGGTCACCAATGCAAACCGAGCCACACGGTTTACACTAATGTTTCTCAATCCCAGTACAAACCCGACCAGAGTTGAGAAACACTGGTTTAAGCCCGGGATACACTGCACGATTTTTGGCTGTCCCAGACGAAAGATTGCCATCGTGAAGCAATCGTGGCGATTTCTGTGATCGTGGCTCTTATTTCTACTTCTATTGGATTACATCTAGGAAGGCCGAATTACAGTCTTGTGCTACATCGCCACATTGGTCAAACCACGTTATTGCAGGCTGTTACATTAGGTCATATGAGATATAAACGAATATTCAACAACAAAAATATTTGACAATTTTTTATTGTTTACGTTGGCTTTAATATCAAATAATCGTTTCATCCCTAGTGTCTTACCAAAATGCCAGCAATGATAATGATCTATGATCAGGATTGAAGAAAATTGAGTCTCATGCTCAGGCATCTCCATTACTTATAGCAAGCCAAACCTGGTTACCAGTTTTGTATTAAGTTATACTAAAACCACATTGTACTAAAAGTTATAAAAGTTGGCACATCGGGGTCACCAATGCAAACCGAGCCACACGGTTTACACTAATGTTTCTCAATCCCAGTACAAACCCGACCAGAGTTGAGAAACACTGGTTTAAGCCCGGGATACACTGCACGATTTTTGGCTGTCCCAGACGAAAGATTGCCATCGTGAAGCAATCGTGGCGATTTCTGTGATCGTGGCTCTTAATCGGTGGTCCTATGTCGTACAGTGAGAGAGGTTCAAAGACGGGCGTTTTCCCGGTCTTGCGACCAAAGATAGCCTACGATAGTTTTCTGACAGTGTCAGAAATTCAGCATGATCAACGCACAGGGTGTTTGCTGCAACGACCTGGGTCTACTCAGCAGCCAATGAAATTGCAATTTGAAATGACATATTGATCCACGCGACCAGCGGCGCTAAAATTTCAATGCCATGGAGGCAAAAAAAAGCAGAAGGTATACTGGTATGTGGGATACCCATAAAGAACAAAGTTGTGGCAGCAGAGGGCATGTTTGTACGATGTGTGCTCTAGCTGCTATCATGACCGCACCAAAAAGGACATAGCATGGAAGGAGATAGCGGAGGAACTGCAGCTGCCAAGCTCCCGGTGCAAAACAGACATCCCAAGTTGTCCTCTTTTCCCGAGCCAGGAGCGGGACCATATTGCCCTCTTC